TCCCATCCATTTTAAGGCCGATTTTAAAACATACCTGATGTTGTGTAAGGGTAGGCTATCGATTAGTAGTTTCAGGCATTTATGGAAAATGGAATGGTACGCCTTTTTACAGGCGTACCACGATGAGTAGCTAGTCGTCATTCTGAGTCTGGCAAGCAATGTGATGCTCTTGTCAAGCATGAGTCCATGGGTGGTGCCCTATACGTTCTCCCTTGCCAGTTGTTCAGTTGGTAGCCCATCCCGGTAAAACCTTTTTTAGGTAGTTTCCTATGATTGCCGTTGTGATTTTGTAGCCAGTTTTCAGTAGCGATATTGGGCGGTAATTATCTTGGTCATTTGAGTCGCCTTTTCTGTATATCAGCACAACGTTAGCTCGAACATCTGACTCACTAAAGTTAGTTTGTTTTGTGATGACTTCGACTATGTGGTGTTTTAGGTATATTTTTGCTGCCGGAAATATTTTGTATATATAGGTAGGTAGGGATGCAGAGGTGAAACTCTGTAACGAAATAGCGATCGGTAGCGATGAAGAATACTGTCGCTTGCCGTTCAGTTTGTACGGCCAAGGTCAGTATTCTTTATCGCTACCGATCGCTAATTAGTTACAGAGTTCCAGCCCAGTCTTCCCTATGTGGTTATATTTTTTCACTCAGTAGTTTTCTGCATCAGGTACGAACGAAAAGTTATTACTCTTCAAAAGAGTTAAACGCATGTAGATGGCGCTCTGTACAAATAGGAGTCATATTGACATCAAAATCAAATTTCTCATGTCAAAAAACTCATTCTCATGTCAAAAAACAAATTATTTAGAAAAATCGAAATAAAAATGAAACTTCTACATACCTGTATCTCCGAAAGTAAGCAAGTTATACAAAGTTTTTTACATATTTTTATCTGCAGAATATGCTGCCGAAGTTTCCGGAATATAGTTTGGATCACCCTGTATATATCATTTATCTCTCGTTTCCTTTATTGCTGCTTTATTGCTTTATTTAGTCCAGTAAATAAGGACATGAAAAGACCCAAGTCTCGGAGTAATTCGTCTACCTTCACTTTTTAGGCGGTAACATCGTGCTCGGCCCAAAAATTTTCAGATTTTTACAAACTTATTCATATTTTCAGTAATAATAGCTTATTTTTCAAGATTTTTTTAACAGTTGTTTTTAGAGTCTCTTTAAGCAACTCAGAAAGTTTGAAGTATTTGTTTAATCACATTGTAATAGGAAACCACTATTCGTGAGTGACTTTTAACGCTTTTTTGGAATTTCCGTAAAGTGTCGAAAATACAAGAAAATTGCATAATATCTTCATATTGCATAATAACTTCTTCGTTGAAAATCAATGATAAAAGTTCAAAATTACCTGCAATATATTGCAACTCTTTCAGAGTATACAGGGTGGTCCGAACTGTATTCTGGAAACTTCGGCAGCATATTCTGCAGATAAAAATAAGTAAAAAAGTTCGTATAAATGTATGCATAAAATGCTTAATTTTGGACATACTGGGTGTAGAAGTATCATTTTTATTTCGATTTTTTAAATAATTTCTGAAGCAACGTCAATATTTGGATAAAAATTGGTGTTTGGGTATTTTTTGGCATGAGAAATTTGATTTTGATGTCAATATGACTCCTAATTGTAGAGGACACCACCTACTTATTTTTTAATTGTTTTGAAGAGTAATAACTTTTTGTCCGTACCTGAATAAAACTACTGAGTAAGAAAATATACTTTTACGACGTTTTTTACGTAATAAAGGTCTGTTGGAAAAAATCGATACGAGTAATGGGTGTCGAGATATTTGAAATCGAAATTATCAATACCCTGCCATCATTGACATAAATTAAACATGTTGCCTAAATAATTATTAGACTGAAATGATAAATTTGAAATTATTTTGTGTCAAAAGTTCAACAGAAACTGTTTTATTATAATTTTTTCGAAGAAAAATTTATTATAAATTAAAAAAAAAAAAGTTCCCAAATTTATCATTTCAGTCAAGTAACTAACTACTCAAGATGTTTATTTTTTGTCAATAATGACATGTATTGACTACTTCCATTCTAAATATCTTAAGAACGGCTGCTCGTAGTGATTTTTACCAAGAGACATTTTTTACGTAAAAAAGTATATTTTTTCACTCAGTAGTTTTATTCAGGTACGGATGAAAAGTTATTACTCTTCAAAACAGTTAAAACACATGTAGGTGGCCCCCCCCTACAAATAGCAGTCATATTGACATCAAAATTAAATTTCTCATGTAAAAAAACTCCCAGACATCAATTTTCATCCAAATATTGACGTTACTTGAGCAGCAGTGGCGGATTAAGGGGGAGGCGGAAGGGGCGGTCCGCCCCGGGCCCCGTCTCTTAGGGGGCCTCCGAATCTTAATAAGTATTTTTTTATTCAACTGGCAAACAAGGTTAATATGTGTTCAGTAGTAATTATAAAGCAGTTTGTAGGTGGAGTATACAAACCATACGTATACTCCAACTATAAACAGTATAAATGGAAGCGGATATTTACTTAATTATCAATTATCAGGCCCCAGTAATTGTCAATGGCATTTTCTATTTAGGAAATTAAATCAAGGAGTAATTTTCTTTGTTTAAAATATCGAATAATTATTATTTTTTTATATATTTTGAGACTGAATTTATTTATTTTAGCTTTTAAGTTATTTTTCAATGGTTTCATTATTTATTTTTACTGAATAAACATTTTAAATTACAACAAATGCACAGCATAACTTGTATGCTAGCTTCATTACTGATGATGAGCAGTGAAGTAGTGAAGTCTTTAGTATAACGGGGGCCACGGGCCTGAGGTAGCGAAGGGGCCCCTCAGATCTTGGAAGACTTACAAAAACGCGATATTTTGTCGCGGTATTTCCCTGGAAGCATTTTTAAGAAAATCATATTTAAAATTTTTGGACGAAAAAAACTACCTGTCAAGAAAATTTGTACAGCCTAAAAGTAAAATTTAGTGATATCACAGCCCCTGTGACATAAAGAAAAGACATGTGGCTATCTATTTCAAAAATTAAATTGTTCAAATGTCATACAATAATGGCGGTATATAGCTGTCATGGAATTGAGCGATTAAAAAATTATCATAAATATTTTTTTTTCAAATGGAAACCCACTTTTTTTTATTTCAGTAGAAAAGGTTTTTCAATTCGTTACGTTTTAACTAGACATATTCCTATACCTAAAATAACTCGTTTTTAAGTTATTTAAGATTTAGTTTGAAAACGTATATTTTTCTTGATTTTATCTAGCTTCCTTTGACATTAAGTGTTAAACAGTCAGACAATTTATTTCCATCTGTCAGAAAATGAATTATTTGAATTTCCTATATTATAACTAATAACTACTGCTGCCCTTAAAAGTTTAAAAAGTATATTTATATAAATATATCTCGTATTTTCTTCTTTAGGTGATATCTAATAGTTGATATTTTAATAATATACCGTACGATCGAAAAAAAACAGCACAAAGTTAGCTTGGAAATGATGATCGATAATATACTGTCATAGGCTACTAGTTAAAATCAAGAAAAATATACGCTTTAAAGCTAAATCTTAAATAACTTAAAAACGATTTATTTTAGGTACAGGAACATGATAGTCACAAAGAAACAAATTTTAAAAATGGAAGTATCGAAAACCTTTTGACGAGTGGAATAAAAAAAGTGGATTTCCATTTGAAAAAAAAATGATTTATGATAATTTTTTAATGGCTCAATTCAATGACAGCTGCGGCCATTATTTTATGACATTCGGACAATTTAATTTTTCACATAGATAGCCACATGTCTTCTCTTTATGGTACAGTGGCTGTGGCAACCACTAAATTTGACGTTTAGGCTATATACATATTTTTGACAGGCAGTTTTTTTCCTCCAAAAATTATAATAATTTTTTTTTCTTAAAAACGGTTAACGTTAGGTATAGAGTGTTTATTATCAAAATTCATAAAATTTTACAGAGAATATAAGTATGTAATAAAAAATGGGGTCATCCATTTAAAATAAGAAAGTTGCTGTCAACTTCCGGTACTTCCGAAAATGCCGCCATATTGAAAATATTTTTAATCGATAGATCTCATTGTAAAACAATAATATGCACAAAATCTCGTATCTATATATTGTAGTTCTCTAGAAACTTCTAACGTAGGCTCAACCAGGGACACCCTGTATAAATACTTGAATTTTGTCAACCATTATATAACGTCATTCAATTTTTACAAAATGTGCATTAGAAGTACATCATTATCTAAAAAGACCGGGCGCCACATTTAGCTTTGCCGCCCCGGACCCCCGACAGGCTTAGTCCACCACTGTACTTGAGAAATTATTTAGAAAAAATCGAAATAAAAATGAAAAGTCTACACCCTGTATCTCCGAAACTAAGCATTTTAGGACATACATTTATTCGAACTTTTTTACTTATTTTTATCTGCAGAATATGCTGCCGAAGTTTCCAGAATACAGTTCGGACCACCCTGTATATTGTCCTTGTCCATTTTTTCGGATATAATGTTTAATAACTCGATCTACCTTCACCATTTGGTCTGAAATATTAGCATCCAAGGGACGTCCTACGAAGGTCCTACGCCCCTTGATGGTCTAGGGTCTGTGGAACATGACTTATAAAATTGTGTGTGACAATGCTTGTGATATCTGGCACCCACGCATAATACCAAACTCAATTCTTTCAATCAACGATAGTATATTTCACAAAAGTTGTATCTTATAATATTTGTCGAACAGCTTCTTAGTATCATATTATTATGTAGAAGCTCTAATTCAAGTTATTCTGATTGTTATTTTCTTACTCATTTTTTGGATGTCATCTGTCAAAATCTTCCCTAACTCGTTGAAAAGGAAAAGGCTATAGTAGTTGTGGTTAGTTTAATTTAATTGTGCCTATACCTATTAATTAATCGAATAGGTAAAGGCATTTCTTAATTAATTTTAATTATTTGAATCAAAATCTGTAGAACAAATTACTTTTAATTAACTTTTAACATGTTTTATTATAAATTAATTTAAACTTTACAAATATAACAATATAGATATGTCATTACAGCTGCTGTGATATGATAATGTGATGTTTTAGAATAAAAATAGACTTGGATCGGCCGAATCTTCAATCTGGATGTTTTTCTGCTTGGGATCCTTGGCATTGAGATGTTCTCGGTAGAAAAGAACAGCGATACTTGCTCCGTAAAATGTCATAGGTATAAAGGAGATCCTAAAATAAAGTTTACCTTAGTATATAAACTACTCAAAACAAGACACTTTGATTCCAAAGATGGAAGGGAAGACACTTGTACTTGCTAAGGAGACAAAATATTTATGAATCATTCTGGACTCGAAGCTTTCCTGGAAAAGGAACACGGAGGAAAGGATGATAAAGGGAATAAATGCATTCTATGCATGTAAAAAACTATTTAGAAAGAGATGGGGTCTGCAACCGTACATTATACACTGGATGTACACTGCTATAGTTAGACCAATCATCGCTTATGGAGCACTAGTATGGTGGGAAGCCGTACTTAAAGAGACTAATAGGAAAAGACTCACAAAAGTACAGCGATTAGCAGCTCTAGGTACAACTGGAGCAAGGAACAACACAGCGCAAACTGCGCTAGAAGCAATTCTGGACTTGCAATCAATCGACTGGCTCGTGAAGGATCTGGCCGCTAAGGGTGCCCTAAGATTAAGGGAATCCAATCTGTGGAACCAGACCAACTACGGTCACTTGAGGATATTGCCAGTGATAGGGAAAATCATGGTGAACACGAGTCCACATCTGCTAGACCAGAAAACGGACTATATGCTCACCAAACATGATTTTGGAGAAAAGATAAGGATTCGCATCCCGACAAGAGAAGAATGGGAAAGCAACCGAGTAATGAACACTCAACAGATAGCAGTCTACAGATGCTTCCGCAAATTCAGGGGGCACAGGTATGGGCTTCTTCTCAGAGGAACTACACATCCGACGATCTTTAAGGCTATCGGATGGCTGTAATGTTCAACAAGCAGAGGTTTGCGCCATAAAGGAAGCGGCTAGTTGTATACGAGAGAAAATTGCTGATTGCTGATAGACCAATAGGGGATATAGTGATATACTCTAACAGCTTGGCCGCTTTAAGAAGCATCACCATGCAATCAGAGAGATCGAAAACTGTGATGGAATGCCGAGAAGCACTGTCCTGGCTGCGTCGGGGCGGGGCTACTCTGTGCTGGGTGCCAGGCCACAGCAACGTGGTGGGCAATCAGGCAGAAGACAGACTCGCCAAAGACGGGGCCAGGGTAGAGGCCGTGGCAGATGACCCACCACTTGTGACGATCAACACATTGAAGGAGGCTATAGGAACTGCCATCAAAGCCAAGCAGCAATAGACGTGGCAACACCGTGAGGACTGCGCTACAGCTCGAAGACTATGACCAGTGGTAGATAGCAAAAAGACAAGACAACTACTAGAGCACAAGAAGGACCTACTACGCATAATTGTAGGTGTCGTCACTAGAAACTGTCCCACGAGGATAAACCTCATGAGATGGAAAATTTCCGACGACGACTACTGCAGAGAATGCGGAGAGGAAGAAGAAACCATAGAGCACCTGCTGTGCCACTGTCCGGCACTGGAATCCCGACGCTTTAAAACTTTAGGGCAAGGTTTTTTGGAGGGGCTAGAGACAGCAGAAGCCAACATCAGCGACATCGGGAACTTTGCAAAGAGCTGGAAGTGCTTTAACCCAAAGAAAGAATGAGAGGAAGGTTTGGTAAAACAATACAAGGGTGTCGCAATGGGCCCAAGGCTTCCGAGTGAGGAAATATGATCCCAAACCCCAGCAACCTAACCTAACCTAACCTACGGTTATAATTAGTTTAGATACTGTGAAGGAAAATTCGAAACAATAAGTTTACGCATTGACCTGTTAATTTTTAGTCGGTAGAGTATTTAGTTGCAAAAGTGAAAACAATACCTATACCTATGGAGTCGATCGGCCGACTAGTTAATTGCATGTGAGGGCGGCTCCATAAGGATATATATTGGTTAAATATGCCACTAAATAGTCGGCTGATTAAAAATTGCCTGTCAGCGCATAACCTAAGGTTACGCAATGCAATCAAATATTGGACCGATTGGCTCCATAAGAATGTATTACACTTTTGCAACTGAATAATCGGCCGACTAAAAAATACATAGTTAGTGCGTACCCTAATTATCTTCAAAAACTCACAAGAAGAAGGCAGAAAAATGCATGCTTCATTTAGAAAGTGTAATAATAACTTTTATTCAAATATGCGATAATTGTTTTGAGTAGTGTAAATTATATTTTTTTAAAAATTAACGCGTGAAATCCCTTATAGGGAGATTACTCACATAAAAATAAAATTTATTTTTCATATAAACATAAGTCCGATTCTATTTTATTTTGTAGCTACAGAGGGGTTAAAACATTCTTTTTTTTTTTAGATTTATTATAATTTTCCTTTTTAAGTGCCTTTAGCGATTTGAATGGCATTTTGAGGGTGAAAAGGGTGTTCTTTTTAGAACATATTTTAGTGCGTAGGAAGTGGGGTGGGATGGGGGGTACAAAGTAAGTCAAATTCGACGCTTTTAAAGGGAAACCCTTTTTTAGAGGAGATAGACGAAAACTAATATCGGTGTCTGGGGCTCAATTTTTATCAAAAACATGATGGTCAAAACCGCATATCGATATCTGTGACCGTATCGGAGTTACGGGGTGTTTTTCAAAAATGTGCATTTTTAACAAATCGCAAAGACTTTTTTGCTATGGAAAATTTTGTATTTTTGTGAAAAGATTTCCAAAGCACCTTTTAGAATTATATTATTTTATTATTAATAATTATATATTAGAACCACGTAGAATTTATTGGTTTAAGTATAATTTCTTTAAAATTAATAATTTAGGAATTATGAACAGAAAATTTGATATTTTATATGGGACCTGTATATTTTTAATTAATTGGAAAGAATTATTACAAAATCAACTAAAATTAACTTTTCAAAAATATAGCATACTTGATAATATTTTCCTTGATTCCTCTTCGAGATATACAGGGTGGCGCACCTCATTCGCCTCGGTTCATTATACGAAAACGGAAAGATGTAGAAACAAAAAATGTTATGGGTATATATGGGGAGGCAATGTGCACAATTTAAAAGTAGGCTGTACTTAAACTGCCGTTAAACGGTAGCTTACTAAAATGCCGTTAATAGGTATGACGTCGTTGATGTGACGCACTTGACGGCTTTATGAAATATAGGAATTTTATAAGGACTAACCAACGCTATCCACCCCACCAAATAACCAACTTAACCAACGCAACTAACCTCGACACTGATAAAAAAAAATTAAAAAACAAATATAAATTAGTAAAAACCAACCAACCCCACCAAATAACCAACTATATAACCTATGAATTAACACCCTCCAAATAACCACGCTAACCAACCCGCCAAATAACTAAACCAATCGAACCAAAAAGAGTGAAACCAATGCAATAAGATCACGCTATAAGCAAAAAAATATAAAAAATTCTTAGTCAGCGTGAGATTTGCACCCCGGACCATTCGCTTACGAACCAATAGCCTCAGCCACGGAGCCAGAGGTGCTCTTGCAATATGCTTATGGCTAGGCATTACTTTCTGCCGACATGAACGACGTCACAATATCTATTAACGGCATTTTAGTAGGCTACCGTTTAACGGCTGTTTAAGTACTACGTTAAAATTATTTTGAAATATATAGGGTGTCTCAGAACTAAGATTCATAATAAAGTTATATTTTTTCTTATGAAACACGTATTTTAATTCATTTTTGGATTCTTGGGCCAAAAAAAAAGGAATTTATTATAAGGGTTAAATATGTTTAAAATCATTGGTTTGTCAGATATTTAAAGATATTTAAATATGCATGCTACAAGAGAATTGATTATCAACGCCCTGTACATTACTTTTCAGAATTAATTCTTGTGCTGAGTGTAAAGGTATAGAAATAAACTTTACTGAAGAATGTTATTGTTTTCTTAAATTTATACAGGGGTACCAAAAAGTAGTGATATATTTTACGGATTTATTTTACATAAAAACTTTGTTATTTCAAATGCAACACCCTGTATTTTTCTAAATAAATCAAAGCAAATTGAAATGCTCTTTTAAACTATATTAGGGTTTCCTATACCTATCTCAGATTTTGAATAAAAATCGATTTTTAAATCTCAGGGGCTTTTTTATATCAAAAAAGTTCCAGCGATTTGTTAAAAATGCACATTTTTGGAAAACACCCCGTAACTCATAAACGGTAACAAATATCCATGTGCGGTTTTCACCATCATGTTTTTGATAAAAATTGAGCTCCAGACACCAATATTAGTTTTTGTCTATCTCCTATAGAAAAGGGTGTTTCCCTTTAAAAGCGGCGAATTTGACCCACCCTGTACAAGATAGCTTAAAATCCGTAAAAAACCTCATCGCAGCTTTATTAGAATATTTTGAACGGGAAAGCGGTAGTGATGGTCCTTTATGTCCCTTAAGTACTGTTAAGAAGGTGAGTTTTGTTGATGTAAATAATAACTGTTTATTGTATTTATAATTAATTTATTTTTGTTTTCTAAAATATTTTGATTAAAAGAAAATATGTAAAAGTGGGCAACGCTGTGCCGGTCAAGCTTAATCACGTGACTAAGAGTTTATTTGATATGAGCTACATAGTCTATTTAACGATAGAATAATGAGTTTGACGCTTGCATTCTGATCTTTTAATATAAAAATAGATTATATTTTCTGTCCTTTTTCGTCTGTCAAAATTTGTCAAAGTCTGTCACAGACTTTATGTATGTCTACCCTAGATCATATTACATGATCTAGAATTTCTACTTACCAATATGAGTAACCCAGAAACGCCATTTTATCAGACGTCATCTTTTCAGCCAGTGTATCGTATAAGGCAACATTATGGAAAATGGTAAGATTATACATGGTGCCCCATAAGATAACGTAGAGCAGTGTAAACCCTAGAGCCAACCCGTTGTAAAAGTATAGACTCCCAACGCTGAAATGAACTTATCAGATTAAATCTAAAAATCATAGAACTCACCTTAAATAAAAGTTTATGGGATTACTGATTGTATTGTACAGCGCTAATACTGAGGCAAGAAGTCCGATTATTGCTGCTATAACCAAACAAACGATAGTGCTGAGCCATACGCCAGCATTAATAAAATTTTTACGATTCACTGAAATGAAAATTACTTTGTTAATATTCTATGTAAATTTTAATGGGGTCAATTATTGGCTTCCCTAATTATTTTAGAGAATAATTCTATTTAGATTTATTGAAGAGCACTGAAACCCACATTCAAAAGAATAACTTTAGATATTTTTGATTAGCTCGTTTACGAGTTGTCGCCGATTTCTTTTTAAATATTTCTCCTTTCTTATGGCCCTGTATTTACTTATGAGCACCAGTCAAGGTAAAAGATAAGTGTCAAATGAAGGTGTCATTTCAGAAATTTACCTATTTAGTGCTTTATTATTATTGAAAACTCATTCCTACATCGAAAATCTTAAAGATGTATTTATAATTACAAATTAATATGAATTAAAGTAAAATTAAGTAATCAATTACAAGGTTAGTTATAGTATTATTACAATATTCAATAACTTATTAATTTAGGTACTATTAAATTGTTAGAACTTTAGGATTTAAGAAGATGTTTAAATATTCCTCCATCGACTGCTAGACAATAAGCCAGGCGATCATAGAATTCTCTTCTTACATTCGCTAGTTGGTAAACTGAATTCTATTGCATTCGGCAGAAATAGCATTTTTTAACTCGTCTGGATTTGGGTATTTTTTATCTTTGTATATCCTGTTTTTTAAATGGCCCCAGAGAAAGAAATCATTTGGCGAAATATCAGGAGACCTTGCTGGCCAATTTACTGTATGATTTAGGCCAATAACGTTTCCGTTAAAACTATTGTCTAAATATTCCCGAACACCCAGGGTACTATGTGCCGGGCAGCCATCCATTTGGTACCAAACTTCTTGATTTACCCTAGCGGCATCATGTAAAGCAGGTAAAATATGATTTTCGAGTAGTTCCAAATAATATTCTGCATTTAAATTTCGCGTAAGAAAGGCCCGATAATATTGTGTCCGAATATCCCTGCCCAAACATTTACTTTCTTTGGATATTGCGTCCTTGTTTCGACAAACCTGTGTTGGTTTTCTTTGTTCCAATATCGATAATTTTGAACATTGGGTTCATTATTTAAGATAAAGGTTGTGGTAAAGGTGCATTCGTCAGTGAAACATATGTTTTTTAAAAATTCCCTATCTGTGTTTGCTCCTTCCATCATATCAAAACAAAACGCCTGCCGCCGTATTTCGTCCCCATCTCGTAGCTCTTGGTGCTCTTCATATTTGAAGGAATAGTATTTATGTCGTTTCAAAATTCGAAACGCTGTAGTGTGATCTATTCCTATTTCATCCTCAAGTTTCCTTGTGCTGATCTTTCCATCGTTCTCTTCCACGCACAATAAAACTTCCAAGTCGGTACCATTTCTTGCATCTTCTCTTTGTTCCTGCCTTGCTTCACATCTGCAGTTATTTATTAGGGTACCTTTGGTCTCAAATCTCTGGATATTCCTTGCGATTGTAGATTTTCCAGGGATCGGTCTATTCGGATACGGAGCAGCAAACATGTCCGACACGTTTTGATAACTATTTCCTTGATAATACCATTTAATCATCAGTACTTTTTCTTCTGTAGTGTAATTCATTGCTAATATTTTCGTTGTAGGTATGAGTTTTTAATAATAATAATAAAGCACTAAATAGATAAACTTCTGAAATTACAACTTCATTTGACAGTTATCTCGAAGAAATCGGCGATAACTCGTAAACGGGCTAATCAAAAATATCTAAAGTTATTGTTTTGAATGTGGGTTTTAGTGCTCTTCAATAAACCTAAATTTCTATCTAAAATAATTAGGGAAGCCAATAATTGACCCCATTAAAATTTACATGGGATTTCCTATGTCCCGTCCGACGATGCAACACCCGGTATATTTTGTACTATAATCTTTTTAAAAAATATTGTAATTACTTACCGTATGTTGTAGTTGTTAGAGTTTTTGCTGTCAAAGGATGAATTGCAAATACAGAACTTGTAGTAGAAATACATGATCCTGTTGGATCATCGTTCTCATTTATATTATTGTTATATAAAGCATCTAGTAAATCTGCTGTGCTGTCTGCTGAACATAGTAATGCACACACGTTGTTTGCGAAATTACATGTCACTGAAAAAAAAATAGATATACAGTATGATCGAAAAAAATTGCGTCAATGTGGCTTAGAAATAATGATCGATGACGTTTTCCTTATAATTTTACATACAAAATGACAGCGATATTCATTTTCAAGTCGCCTCTGATGCGATTCTTTTTCCATCTTATGGTACAATATGATCGATAAAAAAGCGGTGTCACCGATGGCTATGAAATGAAGAACGCTGTCATATTTTATACACCGGGTGCGTCTCAAAAGTGGCTCACCCCTACAATTTTTTACAAAAAACAGATTTGGTATGTTAGTACCTATATGACATAAATTATGATTTATTGGCATATTCAATTGTTTTTAGTCAATTCCTCTTTTACCGGAAATGACAACAACTTTTGATTTTTAAATAGCACCCTCGGTATATTTCTACTTTATCCGATAGAGAATGACACTCTGAATAGAATGACATATCATATCTCAAATTTTGACATTTTCGCATAGGTTTATTTGAAATTGTAACAAGGCGGTTCCTAATGACAATTTGACTAGAAATATTAAGTGTGTGGTACCAAATTCTTCGTAATAAAATGTTTTTTCCAAATATGCTAATGAGCCATCCTTGTTCCATTTGAAAAAAATAAGATATGATTAAAAATACGATTTGGGCATCTTTTAACAGTTTTAAACGTCCTGGTCGGTTAGACACGAAAAACATTAGACGATCAAATCTATTTTTCCAAGGCTTCTTGATTAAAAATTGGTGTTTTTAACACAGCTATGGATCTCTAGATTGAAATCTAAAATACGATTTGTTTTTACACGAAGATATCAACAGTTGACATATGATATGTAATTATATTCAGAGTGTCATTTTCTATCGAATAAAGTAAAAAAATACCGAGGGTGCCATATTTAAAAATCAAAAGTTGTAGTCATTTCCAGCGAAACAGGAAGTGACCAAAAACAATTGAATACGTCAATCAATCCTAATTTATGTCATATACTAACATACCAAGTCTCGTTTTTTTATCAGGAAAAAAATAGTTATAGGGGTGAGCCACTTTTGAGACGCACCCGGTATATTTATACAGGGTGGCGCCTCTAATACGCCGCGAAAGCTCCAAAGAGAACCGTAGTTTATATCGAATTGAAATTTTGGCAGCATATGTAGGTTAACTGAAAGCATTTTATAAAAATATATAGAATTATACAGGGTGTCCCCAAAAAAGTTACACATTAAAGTTGTGTTTTTTCTAATGGAACACCCTATATATTAATTGATTTTCGGATTCTAGGAAAAAAATAAAGGTGAGTTTTATTAGAGAAGCATATACCCAAAATCTAAGGATTTTGATATATTTCACATTTTGTGAAAATGAAGAGTAAATTTTAAATTTCGATAACAGCTACCTAAATTTTAGTTGATCTCGTCTGATATTTAATTACAGTAACCATTGTATGTTAAACCAAATTGAAATTTGTCCCGAAAAGTTATACAGGATGAGACAAAATTAATATGGAACCATTAGTCACTTTTAAAAGGAAGTTACTCCTTTATTTTAAATGGAACACCCAGAATATTTTTCCGGTGTTCAATGGGGAATTTATATATCTTCAAAATATTATTAAGGTTGCCTACCCCTCAGAAAAAGATGTTCCTAGATATTTTAATTTTTATGATTTTGCGTCAGTAGATCTTTATTATTTGAAAAAATCTAGGGTTGCTGTATGATATACCTTTTGTTAATTTAACAAAAATTAAAGATTCTAGAGTAAAATACTCAACGGTAATAAAAAGATACACGTTTAAAACATATTTTAATTATTATAGAATTAAAACTAGATATAAACTTAGAATTATGTGACAAAAATTAGCTAAATGAAATCAAATGCTCAAAATGCTTCCTTTCCTGCATAAAATGATTGTCTTTTCAAAAGGATCTTTTCATTTTAAAAGGCATATGTGGAGGTCTCAACCTCAAAAAGCAGCTACTATAATTTCTCTCATGTTGTCGACAATAATTGGTCGAGTTTTGTAAACACTGTCATTAACATATCCAAATAAAAAAACAGACCAGATATAATCAAGAGCATTTAAGTGTTCTATTAATTAGCGAATGCACACTGCATTCACCAACTACTAGAATCATATCAGTTTTTTCTGATGTAGGATAAGTTTGCATTTTTGGCAAATTTCTGAAAATTTTTTTTTGTTTTAACTGACACAAAATGATAACTAGTTGTTAAAGTTGGACTAATTAGACAGCTATGTTTAAGTAACGTCAGACATATCACAGCCACCCTAGATTTTATCAAATAATAAAGATCTACTCAGATCAAATCATGTAAATGAAAATATCTAGGAAAATCTTTGTTTGAGAGTTAGGCAACCTTAATAGTATTTTAAAGAGGCATAAATTCCCCATTGAATATCGGAATAATGTACTGGGCGTTCCATTTAAAATAAAAAAGTAACATGCTTTTAAAGGTGACCAATGTTTAATATTAATTTTATCTTACCCTATATAACTTTTTGAATCAAGTTTTAATTTGATTTAAAGTACAATAGTTAATTTAACTACATATTAGGCTATACCGGATAAATTCCAATTTAGGTAGCTTTAATTGTAATTTAAAAATTGTTCTTTATTTCAAGAGAGTGTTACATATGTCAAAAACCTTACATTTTAGTCATATACTTCTCTTATAAAACTCACCTTTATTTTTCTCCCAGAATCCGAAAATCAATTAATATATAGGGTGTTCCATTACGAAAAACAAAACTTTGATATGTAACTTTTTTGGGGGACACCCTGTAGAACTCTCTATATTTTTAAAAAATGCTCTGAATTAACCTACATATGCTCACAAAATTTCGTTTCAGTACAAACTGTCGTTCTCCTTGGAGCCTCCGCGGCGTATGAGAGGCGCCACCCTGTATATAGACATTTTATATTCGCAAAAAAATCGTATTTTAAATTTCAATGTAGAGTGCAGTAGCTGTGTTAAAAACATTAATTTTTAATCAAAGAGCCTTGGGAAAAATAGATTTGATCGTCTAATGTTTTTCGTGTCTTGTCCTTGCAGGTTAAAAGAGGCCCAAATCGTATTTTTAATCATATCTCATTTTTTCAAATGGAACAAGAGTTCATTAGCATATTAAGGAACTTAACTTTTCAACCTCTAGAATAGCCTATTATGCCCTTTTTGAGTCACATCTTCGTTATGCCCTTCCGTTCTGGGGTACTTGCTTCGCAACAAAATTTGATCGTATTTTCAGACTTCAAAAGAGAGCAGTTCGATATTTATTGGGACTGAACAGTAGAACTCACTGCCAGAATTTCTTTAAAATTTCCAAATATCTACTGACTCTTCCTTCTTTATTCATTTTTGAATCCGTTTGCTTAATCCGCAAGCACATATCTGCTATTCCCGAAAGGCCATCTCATAACTATCCACTTAGGAATGCGGAGCACGATCTTTATCTGCCAACCCCGAGCTCAGAACTAGTTAAAGGTTCAATACTGTACAATGCCAAAAAAATGTACAATCATCTGCCTTTGAATATCAAGTCGCTTTCATTCTTTCCCGCATTTCGCAAAGCTCTAAAATCATACTTACTGGAGAGAGCCCTATATACGGTAAACGACTTTTTTGTTGATGTTTAATTATGAACAATTTTGAATTTTATAATTTTGATCATCTCACACACTGGCCAAAGCTCAAGTATTTAATATTTTATAACTCTAAAATTATATCTATTTACTGCGTACTGTTCTGCAATTGTCCATGTATATTCTTTTTGTTATTTTAATGACTTAATTTTTTTTTCAATTGTATTATTTGTATTTTGTATATTTTTTGTTGTTTGTATTTTTTTGTGCTTTTTTTTGCTATTTTGTGCTTTGTCGATGAAGCCGTTTTGGCTTTATGTACAATAAAGCGTTGTTTGTTTGTTGTTATTTGGAAAACGCATTTTTTACGAATAATTTGGTACCACACACTTGGTATTTCGAATCAAATTGTCGTTATGAACCGCATGTTACAATTTCAAATAAACTATATACGAAAATGTCAAAAGTTGACATATGATATTATGTAATTGAAGCGTGAAAATTCAAAAGCGTCTAAGTGCCAAATTGATCGAATTTAAGATTTCATTAATTTTGCAATCTATGTGCCTAGGCCAATAACGTACAAAACTGTCTAAGTGCCATACTGCTATTTTAACGTTAAATACTCGGCTAAAAGATGGCGCGACGTCCAAGTTTTATTTTTTTGGATGTATAGTTAGAACATAGACGCTTTTGAATCTATGTTAATTTTGAACTTAGACTGTTTCTTTGTTTTATGAATTTGGTAATTTTTTGTAACAAAACTATTCTACTTCTTAAAGTTTTTTAAAATGTTTTATATGCTTCAAAACACTTAATACTGATTATTAAAGTACTTTTCACCGCAATATACTTGTTTTTTTCATTTATTATAACAGAAACTTTAATAACTCAAACATAACTTTTTGGCACTTAGACGCTTTTGAATTACCACGCTTCAATTGTATTCAGAGGGCCATTTTCTATCGAATAAAGTAAAAAAATACCGAAGGTGTTATTTAAAAATCAGAAGTTGTAGTAATTTCCGGTGAAACAGGCAGCGACCACATACAATTGAATGCATCAATCAATCCTGATTTATGTAATATATGCTAACGTACCAAATCTTATCTGAAAAAATACCAAATCTAGCTGAAAAAATAAAAGTTATAGGGGTGAGCCACTTTTGAGAAACACCCGGTTATATGTTATCAGTGTTTATACACAAAATACAAATTTTGAAAGATCTCACGTGAGATTAGGGGTCGGGACAAAACTCACGTCTCACCAGTGAGGGTGGGTGGCTAAAAAATCTTCAAAATCGCTCCAGGTAATTTTTGAACGCTCCCTTACATCTACATCTTTTGTGAAAAATGTCTTATCTCTTAAATCTATACTATTATATAAAATCCTTAAGTGACTGACTCACTGATTAATCACGATCCTGGTCAAACCACTCAACGTAAGAAGCTCAATTTTGGCATACAGGTTGATTCTAGAGTGTAGAGGTTCAATAAAAAGGGATTTTTCGAAATTCCAGTTCCAAGGGGGTGAGACCACCCCTCAAATATTACAATATTTTTTATTTAAAAAACGGTTATGTTTATTATTTCCCGCTATTTTCTTTTCCTATTTTTAAACTAAAAGCTATACTAAGTTTCCGAAAAAACGCTTAAACACGTATATCTTATTTTGTTTTTTTACATATTTTAAGATTTTTTAGGAATGTATTCAGGGTGTTTCGAAAAATCTGGTTATTGATTAATCACGATCCTGCTTAAAGCGCTTAACGTAAAAAGCTGATTTTTGGAAAACGGATTGACTTTAGGGTGTAGAGGTTCGATAAGAAGGGATTTTTCGAAACTCGAATTCTAAGGGGGTGAAACCACCCCTCAAATATTAGAATATTTTTTGTTTAAAAACCGGTGAGTTTTTCGGAAAAACTCTTAAACACGTATATTTTATTTTGTTGTTTCATAAAATATTACCATTGAGTAATCACGATTCTGCTTAAACTGCTTGACGTTTAAAGCTGATTTTTGGCAAACGGATTGACTGTGGAGTGTAGAGGTTCGATAAGGAGGGGTTTCTCGAATCTCAAATACCAAGAGGGTGAAAACGCCCCTCAAATATTACAATATTTGTTATTTAAAAAACGATTAGTCTTTCGGGAAAACGCTTGGACACGCATAATTTATTTTGTTTTTTTACATATTTTGAAATTTTTTAAAAAATCATACAGGGTGTTCCAAAAAGTTGGGTAATTGATTAACTATGATTCTGCTTAAACTGCTTGACGTAAAAAGCTTATTTTTGGCAAACGATTTTTCTAAAGTCAAATTCCAACGAGATAAAACTACCCCTCAAGTATTACCAAGTTATATAATAAATTAAAATAATAATTTTATTTCCTGTTATCATAGATAATATAATTTTAGAGCATTGAAAAAAGTAGTGTTTTTTACTATTGAAAAATATACGATTAAACTTCATGATGTCTCATTTGGTTCACTTCAGCAAATACTCAGATAGTTCTACTGTTTGAATATACATCTATATTTAGAAATGCGTAAATGCTTATAATAATGTATGATCAAAAAACGGCGTCAAATTACCTCAGAAATTACCACTGATTTCATACAGCAAATAATTTTACACTTAAAATGTTATGGATCGCAAATTTAACTTGACGGTGTTTTTCTTTTTCAATCATATTCCTACTAAAGCAGGCATTTGGAGCTTCAAAATTTTTAATTTCTAAAAAATGGTATTTTTTTACTGGCTCAGAAAAAATACACCGCTGTAAGTATCTATGTAAAAAAAAATATTAAACAATACTTACTTTCAACTTGATACGACGCCCTTATAGAAACATATCTTCTATAGTTTCCTCGAAACAGTCCGTAGTTTATATAGCTGAAATCCTGGGTGGTATCTGTCAAATCTGACAGTTTTCCAGTAATCCATTGTTCCGTACTTAGCGAAACGATATTGAATATGAGAGCTATAGATGAGACAAGAAACGTCGCTAATATATAGATTCTATTTGTTGTAGCCATACTACTAAATAATTAAGACTTTTCAAATCATTTCACTTTAACTCGGGATAAAAAAACTACTTATTTAAGAATTAATAAATACAATCTCTAAAATATATCATCACAGATTTAAGGTATATTGTTCAAACTGTTGCGTTATCAGATAGTGCCTATCTTGGAGATAAAACATATTCAGATACATTAATCCCATCTATCTGTTAAAGATAAAATAGCATTTATCGGATTTCTTACCTATATCTGCCTATATTAATATGGATAATGGAGTAGTGATTAGTGGCAGGAATTTCAGCAATGCCATAATTAGAGCACTAAAAATAGTGATGTTCTCGTTAGTCTTTTCTGTTTGTCATTCTTTCCGATGCATACTATACAGTGTCAGTTAAAAGTCCGTGTCAAATGGGATATTTTTTTTATTAGAGACAGGACAGGATACAATTAGGTAAAGCAGTTGGTTTTTTTGCTTGTCTGAAAACTAAAAATTATGTGTGTGTAATCTTTAGTTTCATAAAAAAGCAGCTTAGTACTATAAGGGTACCTACTATGAAAACCGCTATCTTTGTATTTCTATACTCATAAACGAGAAACCCCATAAAACATACGAAAATGGGACACACTGTATTTCAAATATAAAACAAAAAAAATCATTAAAGAGTTTAGACTGTGTTGTTTTTCGAAAAAGTATTATAACTAAAAATACTGTAAAAAAATAAAATATATTTTACTGCAGTCCTTATATTATTATATCATAGCAATTCTATGCTGAATCCAATTCTGTACAGAAAAAGGGATTTGTAATTTTAAAAAAACCTTTATCAAATAACTTTATCGTTACTTTTCTTAGAACACCCTGTCTATAACAAAATAATTTTTAGCACATGCACTTTCATAAACCATTGGTTAGGCAACCAGTAATATTGATTGGTCATTTGGAAATGGAAACTGTCAACCTATGCTGTCAACTGTCAATCCTAGTATTTTTCCAGTTTTGAAGGATTGTTTTGATTTAGTTAATTCGTGGTTTATTCCTGAATATATTTATATCAAAGTGCTTTAAGACACATTTAAGTGTGATAAATAGTGTTACAATGAACATGGTCTCGGCCGGGTATATTCCTGGCGATCCTAGATTGATCGAACAAATTGTATATGAATTAAAATCACAAGGTATTTTTGATCAGTTTCGAAAGGAGTGTATTGCTGATGTAGACACAAAGCCTGCTTATCAGAATTTGAGGCAAAGGGTTGAAGGAAGTGTTAATAACTTTTTAATGAAGCAAAAGTTTAGTGGAAATATGAACAAAAATCAGATACGAGAACAACTACGCAAGAATATTTCTGAGTAAATCAATATTTATATCTATACTTCAGTCATCTTAAACTATTCTTTTTAGATCGGGATTTTTAGAGACTGGTGTTGAACGTATAGTAGATCAAGTAGTTAACCCAAAAATTAATACTGTTTTCCTACCGAAAGTAGAGGATGTTGTGTATAGATATCTTGGACTGGAAATTCCAAATCGTGATTCTAGAAAGGAGGAACTAAAAGTCGATGTTACTGACTTATTACCTAACGATTTGGAAGCAGTTTCACCAGAGTCTGTTCACGGTAAATTATTTTCACTGAAGTTTATATATGTATTATGTATAAAAATTTACATATTTTAAGATCAATCCCTTAATGTCTCTTCCGATAATAAGCAAGTAAATACCGAATTGAATGAGAATTCATTAAATAGCTCAAATACGAAAACTGAAGAGGATGAAAGTCCAGCTTTTGAGCTTTTGGAAGAAAATACAAAGTTTTCATTGCATAATGAGAATTCAGTGGATTTGAACTCTTCTGAAAAAGCAGGTATATGACAGTATTACAGTTAGAAGTTGGATTGTTGGAACCTTTGGTGTTACAACAGCAAAATAAAACACTAATTCACCACAATATACCAAAACACTTTACTTTTGTATTGGACGCTTGTTTTGCTAAGCATGTTAGCATCAGCAGATGATTAAAACGAGTTGATTTTAGGTTAGCGAAACGCGCGTCCTGTGTAAAAGTAGTGTTTTGGTGTATTGTGGTGAATTAGTGTTTTATTTTGCTATATGACAGTAGTACACATTAATTAAAGAAGAATATTTTTGATACATTTTTTTGTAGTTTCATGTAATGAAAAATTGATGATTGTGGAAAATTCTCAGGATATCTCTCAAAGCTCAAAAAATAGTTTTGATAGTCATTTATCTATTGAAACATCTGTGGAAAGTTTAAAAATGGAAATTTGTAATGATAAAATAATATCAGAAGAAAAAATGATAGTTGAAGAAAGTAAAAGTGAAAATCAAGATATGAAAGTTACGGAGGACACAATTGATGCATTTAATAAAAAAATTGAGGATAGGAAAAATGTTGAATCGAAAGTTCCAGAAGATAAAAGTAATGATGTAAAAAAAAGTGACGATAAGAGCAAATCTAGAAATGATAGAGACAAGAAAGATGATAAAGGTAATAATATTAAATTAATTTAAACCATATTGAACAATAATTAACTTAAAATCTATCTGATAAACTGGAATTAGCAATTTTTTTTTACAAAATGTACGCCTTTTATTGTTGGGTTGTAAGTAAAACAAACTACTCTCATAAAATAATTTGTAATTCAGTAATCTCTCTATGCTGTCTTGCAATAAATTGTAAAAAAGAAACTAAAAATTATCGGATTCAGATTAATGACTTTTCAAAATGTCATAGAACTACAAAAATTTAAGGTAATAGCGTTGATTGAAAGAATTGGGAAGATATACAACCTGATGGGGAAATTTGTGACAAGGCTGACTTGATTTCCCCTTATGTCTCAATTCATTCATAAAACATTTATTTTTTCTAATTCGGATAGCGACAGATGCTCGAACTGAAAGCGACAGTGTTGCCATATTAAAATATGTAATATCTGTAACACGTTTTACAAAAATATCTTTGGTTGAAAAATCCGCGTTTATGTATTGAAAATGTATTCATGTTAAACATAGAATAAATAACAAAAATAAATTCTTTTATAGATCCTGAATATTTCGTATGATCGAAAAAAGTCTTTAGTTGGTTTGGAAATGACGATTATTGACAGTTATTTTACATATGAAATAACAGCGAACCTCTTTTTCAAGCCAACTCTGACGCCTTTCTGTGTTTAATCATATAATATTATATTAAATTGTTTAATGATTGATAAGATCTGTATTATTAACGTACTGTACCCAAAATCCGTAAATCTACAGATTAATCCGTAGTTCTGGCAACACTTTCTCCGGCAACCACTCACTCTGTCGACTGAAAGCAGAACTGCGGTACGGCGCGCAGCGGCGCGGCGCTGGGTTAGACTAAAGGCCGATTCTCACCTAAGCGGCATCGAGCGAAGCGAAGCGGCGCGGTGCGGCGCTTGAAAATGACGTTTCCAATTGTTTGCGTGTAATCAAATGATACCGTCCTCACCTAAGCAGAGCGGCGCAAACTGTATTGTTGCGGTCCGGCGGCGCTGTGATTTTTTAACGCTACCCGGAGCGTTGGCTCGCGGCACGCGTGTCTAAACTCGCGCGTGATCGTCTGCTGACGCCCAAGTGAGGATCACGAAGCATCAAAAGCAAGCCACGCGACGACATGAAGAGGTTATTTAAATTGTAAAAATTTGTGTTTGTAGTGTTTTGAAAAAGCATGGACAAGAAAAAATTGATCGACTGATAGTACTCGTTTGTATTATTGTAATATTGAGTACTTGTTTGTAATATTGCCGCTTTTTTGCTCTTTTTCTGTTCATGTTTGTGACATATTGCAGCGACAAACAAAAAATCTTCTGATAATAATTCATTGTCGTCCACCTACCTATACACTCAAATACAAACGAAACTCTGCTGTTTCGGTTCTGCTGCTGCCAAATGTCGCTTAAAGTATGTTTTCCTAGCGGCAGGTTTTTTGCGCCGCACACGACCTGTTAAGCTGAGCGTTTAACATCATGCACTCATTCCCACGAATTTCAATAGGAGTGTTTGCCTAGAGGGCGCATTACGCCAGCGCGGAACGTGTTACGTCGATGCAATAGACCCGACTGCTTTTCGAGGAGTCAGTTGCATTGTACGCTACGTGATTTGACCAGTTTGTTTTGAAAATTGTTAAAAAATGTCCCAAAGTACTTAGAAATTGCCAGCAGTTAGGTTTTCGTCCGACGAGAACGATTTTTTTATTAAAAAAGATTTAAAAACGCTATGTAAAAAGACAACTTTCTCTAGTTGTCAACTCGTCTTCAACAAGGTTTAAAATAAAGGAGAACCTTTCACGAGTCAATCTAAAATACCTTTGGAACTTCTCTTCCTCATCAAGGAGATGACTCTTGATTGAAAACTGTTGAAAGTTCCTTCATTTCTTTGACTTTTGAACACATCACTCACTTGTTTTCTGGGTTTCGCATACTCCGTCAGCAAGACCTCTTCTTCCTGGTCATCTCCTATAATTTCTCTTAATAAAAACGCCACAATTAACTTCCTTTTCCTGCACGTAGTCGCCATTTTACTTTGTTCGCGACTTTCCTAGGCCAACTGAACCACCTTTTACGCCGCGTAAAAAAAGTTGCGCTTCTGCCGACGTTTTTTTTACAAATTCAGTTACTGCTGCGCAAAAAACCTGCCGCTAGGAAAACATACCTTTAGGTGTGAATAGCCGATCCGAAATGACGCTACGCCTCGCGCCGCACAGCGCCGCGCTGCCTCCCTCGATGCCGTTTAGGTGAGAATCGGCCTTAAATCTCCGACAGACTGACGGTAATGCCAGCTACATCTCGGACGTGTTTTGTGCCACAAAATCGCCCATAAGGTTGCCCATCTTATTTCTTCAATCAACGATAATAGTATTTGCTAATGATAATTTTCTATTTTGTTGCGTTCTGTAATTAAAATATAAACTGATTGAAAAAAAAACTATGAAAAATACGGTATACAGTGTTTTAGAATTTTTATCAGATTTATGTTTTATCACCCAAACAATAGGAGGTTAAAAAAATTGTGAATTTTTTTTTCAACAATTTAAACTATCATAAAAATTATTATCAATATATTTTAGATAAAAGAAGCAGAAGTAAGTCAGAAAGTAAATCAAAAAGTCACAAAGATCATAGGTCAAGTTCAAAACATAGTTCTTCAAGGGATAAAGATAAAGAACGAAAAGATTATCGAAATGGTAAAGAAAAAGACGATTCTGAGAAAAATAAACAGGAGAATAAAAATAAAGAAGGTGATACTAAAGAAAAAAGTCAGAGGTCTAAAGACAGAAATGAAAAAGACGATAAATTGAAAAGCAGTAAAGACAAGGATAAGGCACAAAGGGATAAGGATAAATCAAAGAGTGATAAAGACAGAAGTAAACACAGTTCTAGTTCTAGTAAACATAGTAAATCATTATCTAGTTCTTCCAGAAAAGACAGCTCTTATAAAGAGAAAGAAAGAAGTGATGAAAAGGTAAATGACAAAGAATCGTCCACAAGTAAAAATAAAGATGTATCAAGTAAAGAAAAAGACAATTTAAAAACTTCTAAAGATAAAGATAAACCAAGATTAAGTTCAAGCAGTAGTAGAGATAAAGAAAAAGATAAACATCATAACGACCTTAAATCACGGTCATCTGATAAATATAAAAAAAGCAGTGACAAGAGCAAGTCATATCATGACAAGAAAAGTTCGTCAAAAAAGGAAAAAGATAAAAAATCCGTTGATGATCATTATAGTTCTAAAGAAAAAAGAAATGATAGAAGATCTACAGATAGAGATTCTAATGATGGTTCAAGTAAAAGCAGTAGACATGATAGCTTTACTGATATTCAGTTGCAAGCCAACAAAAGTAGCAGTAAGGAGTCTTCCGAGGTTTTTAGCAGTGGTAGTGGAGAATCTAATAATTCTGATGCAATAGAAGCAACTAAATTTGAGCAAAATCCACAAGTTTCTGTAGATAAAAAGAGTGAGGTAAGTTAATTATTACTTTTTATTTGGGTTTTATTATGGCTCTTGAAAAAAAAAATCATACAGGGTGGCGCACCTCATTCGCCTCGGTTGATTATACGAAAACGGAAAGATGTAGAAACAAAATATTTTTGGGGTATATGTGGGGAGACAATGTGCACAATTTAAAATTATTTTGAAATATACAAGGTGTTTCAGAACTAAGATCCATACCAAAGTTATATTTTTTCTTATGGAAGACCCGGTATTTTATTTCAGTTTTGGATTCTTGGGCCCAAAAAAAGGCATTTATTATAAGGGTTAAATATGTTTAAAATCTTTAGTTTTTGAGATATTTAAAGATATTTAAATTTGCATGCTACAATAGAATAGACTATTAACACCCTTTACATTACTTTGCAGAATTAATTCTTATGCTGAGTTTAAAGGTAGAGAAGTAAACTTTACTGAAAAATGGTATTGGTTTCTTAAATTTATACAGGGCCAGTTGCCGATCCATTTTAAGGATATATTTTATATAAAAACTTTGTTATTTCAAATGTAACATCCTGTATTTTTTTTAGACAAATCGAAGCAGATTCAAATGCTCTTTCAAACTATATTAGGGTTTTCTATACCTATCTAGCTGAGATTTTGAATAAAAAGCGATTTTTAAATAAAATTGTAATCAAGATGGCTGGTGCCGCCATGGCAATTTTCTAGTGACAGTTAGTAACTATTTTCAAAGTCGACATTAGTTTATGGACATTATTATTTATAATTTATAACAGTTTACTTAAATTTACCTACAATAGTTTAATAAGTAAGTATTCATTATTTTATCAAGAAAAATAAAGCAGTATCTGCTGGCGGAACGAATAGATATGTTACTAGTGATATTATTTTATGAGGAAACTTGCTTCTCGGCCTCAAGGGTTTATGCTCAAAGATATCAAAATAGGAATCTTCCTGATAAGAGTTTCTTTGAAAAACTTCTTGTCCTATTTCGCCTGGTAGTGTGGTTTATAAAAAACCTATTAGGCAGAAACCTGTCGTTGGAAGTGAAGAAAATGAATTTGCCGTAATTGGCTCTTTTATAGAAAATCCATATATCTACAAGTCATTGTAAAATAAATCAAAGATCTACTTTTTCGTTTTTCTTGATAGAATAATAAATACATATTTAATAAATATTATTTATTAAACTATTGTAGGTAAATTAAATAAAAGTAAACTGGTATAAATTGAAATAAGTCCATGATCTAATTTCGATTTTGAAAATAGTTACTAACTGTCACTAGAAACTTGCCATGACAACACTAGCCATCTTGATTACAGTTTTATTGAAAAATCGCTTTTTATTCAAAATCTGAGCCAGATAGGTATAGGAAACCCTAATATAGTTTGAAAGAGCATTTAAATCTGCTTCGACTTATTTAAAAAAATACATAGTGTTGCATTTGAAATAACGAAGTTTTTATGTAAAATAAATATTTAAAATAGACAGCAATTTTTGATACCCCTGTATACATTTAAGGAAGGAGTAACCTTTTTGTGTAAAGTTTATTTCTCTACCTTTAAACTCAGCACAAGAACTAATTCTGAAAAGTAATGTACAGGGTGTTAATAATCTATTTTATTTTAGCATACAAATTTAAATATCTTTCAATATCTCAAAAACCAAAGATTTTAAACATATTTAACCCTTATAATAAATACCTTTTTTTGGGCCCAAGAATCCAAAAATGAAATAAAATACCGGGTATACCATATTAAAAAATATAACTTTGGTATGGATCTTAGTTCTGAAACACCCTGTACATTTCAAAATAATTTTAAATTGTGCACATTACCTCCCCGCATATACCCATAAAATATTTTGTTTCTACATCTTTCCGTCTTCGTATAATAAACCGAGGCGAATGAGGTGCGCCACCCTGTATACATATCTTGAAAAAAAAATGTTACTGAAAATCTAATATTCCTTGGACGTAGAACTACTACGTATTTTTGGAATCAAAATAAGTTCATTGGATACAATTTACCTCTATACAAAAGTGCTTCGTTTGTCCGCTAGAGGACATCAAACTTTAAAAAAATAAATACATTTTTTCAGATATTTTAAGAATGGTTATTCCGATTTGAATGATATTTCGAGTGTCTATGTTTTGCTAAGTGCTTTAACATTTGACTTTTACAAAAATCAAGAAAAAGTATGGAAAGGGTGAAAACTACCCCCACCCCTACATAAATTTTAGTATAAATGTTTTCCAACTCCACCGACAACAGAATTTCTTTTTGTAAAATGGTCTCTAGTATTTACTACATTTTTCGCCTCTTCTAAAAAAAAGCCACATCGCATAGTTTTTGAAAAAAATAATTTTGGAGAATTTATTTTTGAAAGCAGACCTACAAAATATACAGGGAGTTCTAATATTCCGTGCACATAGAACAGCTACGTATTTTTTGAATCAAAATTGCACATAATTTTCCTTTATACAAAAGTTCTTTGTTAGACTGAACTTTTAATATAACGCTGCAAGCTTTTCGCACGGAGTATCGTATCGAGACGCGGGCGCGGTGCAATTTCGTTTGGTTCGCTATGCCATGGTGTTGAAACAGCGTCAATGAATTTTTTGATACTGACGCTTTTAATATAACGCTGCAAGCTTTCCGCACGGAGTATCATATCGAGACGCGGGCGCGGTGCCATTTCGTTAGGTTGGCTATGATACATGATATAATATACCATGATACATGATACAATAAAACAGTTTTATTGTGCCCATCATGAGATGGGCCAATGTGGTTCGATTTCTTGTTATATGCATACGAGCATCGATAATTGTTTGCAGTTTTGTAGACTCAGTATTAGTGGAAATCTACGATAAATTTTTGTTATTGTTTATGAAATAAATATTGCCGACGTCTCAAATATAATGATTCATGGGAGGATGGAGAGCTAAATCTGATGTAGACTCGCGTTTACATCTTCTTGACTGTTATTGTAATAAAAAATTGATAGTAAATAATAATGCATTTTTTGTGTCTTATCGTGGAGAAAAATTATACTTTGTTGATAAAAGAGTGGTTTTCTTACAATATGGATTCGATTTAATGCCTTTCAGTTTCGGTTATGTTTAGGCAACACATCGTCGCGGCGCGTTGTTGCCAATACTAATGTTAATAGGGGGAGAATAATTATGGGAAAATATTCAAGAGGTTAATCGGTTATGCATACGAATCATCATCATTTAGCTTATACCGTCCACAACTGAACAAAAGCCTCCCTTAACTCTAGCGATTTCCTTCTAATTTGTGCCACTTGAATCCAGTTTCCAGCCACCCTCTTAATATCATCTGTCCATCGACTAGGAGGTCATTCTCTGCATCTATAGGCCTCGTGTCTCGGTCTCCATTCCACAAGTCTCTTTGTCCACCGTCCATCTGTCATCCTAGCCACATGTCCTGCCCAATTCCATTTAAGATGTAAGACAGATATCACCGCATCTCTTACTCCTGTTCGATTTTGTATTGTATGATTGGGTATTTTATCTCTGAGTGTAACTCCCAACATGGACCTTTCCATTTTCCGTTGCATGACCTGTATTCTATGTATGTTCTTTTTTGTCAAAGTAAGCGTTTCAGCTCCATATGTGAGGACAGGCAAGACACACTGGTTTTTCTTCTTAAACATATGGGAATATCAGATCTTAGTATATGCCTTAGTTTGCCGAATGTCGCCCACGACAAACCTATTCTTCGTAGAATTTCGTAGGTCTGATTATCCCTTCTAAAACCGATCTCATGCCCTAAATATATATGCACTTGTTCCAAAGGTATGTTATTAATGTTTAAATTTCCACTTAGTACTAGATTTGACATGTATTGTGTCTTTGACAAGTTAATTTTCAAACCGACTTTTTCCGAAGCATCATTCAGCATATCCAGCATATTCTGTGCCTCCTGTATGTTGTCTGTTATTAAAATAATGTCATCTGCAAAACAGAGATGATTTATCAATTTGCTATCGATGTTAATTCCTGTTGAATCCCAGTTTATCATTTTTAACATACTTTCTAGCACAGCAACGAATAGTTTAGGGGACAGTGTCTCGCCCCCCCCCCCAATTCAGAAGCAATTTATATTTGATATTTTATAAGTTACATGATTGGAAAACTCCAATTCCCCAATTCCCGATTTCCAGTAATCAAAACGAAATTTGCTGTATTTCAAAAACGGTAAGAGTAAGACGCTGGTATAGGGTTTGAAGCAGGATGAGCCAAAGCAGGAACTTGTTTCAGCCATCCTGCTTTTACTGTGTTGCTATGTGTGACGTCACCAATCAGACTTAAACTTGCTGTATCTTAAAAACAGCAAGTGTTGCTGGGACGAAATTCTGAGCAGGATGCAACAGGAGCGCAAGCAGGAACCAGTTTTGGTGATCCTGCTTCCCATTTGTTGCCAACTGGGAAGTTAGCAACCAAAATAAAAGTAACTATAGCTCAAAACTGGTAGGTGTGGCTGGGTTGGGATTTGAAACAGGATAAAGCAGGATTGTAGCAGCCCAAGCAGACACCCAAAATCTCATTCCAATCGGAATAACGACTTTTAAAATATCTTATTTTTTTAAAGTTTGATGCCCTCTAACGGACAAACGAAGCGCTTTTGTATAGAGGTAAATTATACCCAATGAACTTATTTTGATTCCAAAAATACGTAGTAGTTCTATGTCCACAGAATATTGGAACATCCTGTTTTAGTGATGTAAACTTTAGTTACTTATATGGACTCGTAACTACTAGTTACTTTTGGTAATAGGACTCGTTACTTTAGTTACTTATATGGACTCGTCACTTTGGTACTTAGTATCGTTACTTTATAATCGTTGTTTTGTGTACTGTGTACAGGTTGGAAGACTTGGGCTTGACTTGGAACTTTCGAACTTATTGTGAACGGCGATCTTCGTTGCGTGCTCGGTTTAACCTATAAGGGGTTTCTACTTTCTTCTAGTGTAAGGGCTTAATAGGATAATTTCAATACTCGGTATTCAAGTACTGAATAATATGTTTTTAATAATATGTATAATATTTTTATAATGATATGTTATCACTATGTATTAATAAAATTAAAAATAAAAGAAAACAAATCAAACAAAGAAAATATGTGTATAATATAAAGTATTTTTTTCTCTCTCTTTATATTTTACATTAATAATTATGCAAAAATTAAAGAGTAAAAATAAAAAAATGTATATATTTTTGACAAAAAAATCTATTCCTCTGTGACGGATTAATCTCTTCAAAAAAGTCCTTTGGATTAACGCAGCAGTGTTTTCTTACAGATTCAGTAGATTTTCTTACAGTGGCGAAATTATAACTTGAGTTTATTTTCCCAATAATATTTCTTTTAATTTCTTTTTTCTTTAATTTTTTTTTAATATCTTTTTTGAAGAGGAAAAATATTTGCTCTGCTTTTTCAGATGTTTTCATTTTTTGTGAATAACGTGAATCCATTTTTAATACATATTAATCTAAATAAACAATTCTATTATTTGCCCACCGAGCAACTATAAATCAAAAAATAAAATACACTCTACCCCTAAATAATATCGTATAATACTTATTTCAACTAAAATAATTGTAAAAATGTGCGGAATTACCTAAATAAAAAGCGACAACAAACGGCAAAGGGACAGACAGCCGCGCCGGCGCCGCAGGATCGGCATGAGCCAATCATAATAATTCTAATAAAAATATCACACATTTGCCATCCAAAACACCGGCCGGCGTGAAGTCAACACTTTAAACATAAACATATTGATAACAACTAGACCTACGTCGACGTAAGGAATACTTCAGTATCGAGTTTCGAGTTTTCGGTTCGTGCATTTCCAGGGATTACGATTACTGCCAAAATTAGCAAAAGAAACGAATTAGCTTAGTAACGAGTCCTAAATTCAAATGGTAAGCGTTACTTCGAGTCCTTGTAAAGTAACTGTTACTTTGTAACGATTACTTAGAATGTTTACATCACTATACCTGTATTTACATACTAATACTTATTTTTACAATTTTCTTTATTATTTTTAAGGTTTTACAATCTATAAAGTATATTAAACCAAAATTTGCCTCAAATATTCATGAAGCAATGAAAATTATGAAAATTCGTAAACAGCTGGCCAAATTGGAAAGAAATAATCAACTTTCTCTTTCTAATATTCAATCAACTAGTGACGATAAAACTGTTCCCAATAATTCAGCTCTAGGTAATTATTATATTTTAATTAATTTTATTAATATACTAAATATATCATTAATTTGATCCATAGCCTCGACAAAACCTTCAGAATCTTTAAGCAACGAGATTGAAACAGTAAAATCCTCTGATATTCAGGCACTGAAAAGCAAAGATTTAAGTACGATAGACTCAACAAAACGTAATTCAGAATCTTTAAGAAATAAGACTAAAACAGACGCTTTAAGTATGATAGAATCAACAAAATCTAATTCAGAAACTCTAATCAATGAGACTAAAACAGAAACAACTTCCGAGGTTCAGACATTGAAAAGCAAAGATTTAAGCATGGAATCATTTGAAGCGCTAGAAGCAAGATTAGCTCAAGAAATGTCAAATGTAGACTACCACATGTATGGAGACGAAGATGATACCTTTGAATGTAGTTCTGTTTCTATCAGTCCAGCTAAGAAGAAAAAAGACGACGAGCCCAGTAAATTGCTTGCTACGGATGTCATTTTTGATGATGTTGGAAGCATATCTAATATCAACTCTAATGTTGAAATAGGTGAAGAGATAGAACTTCTTTCGCAACGTGACAATAATATAACTGAAAATAATGATAAAACCGAATCTATAAAACTAGCCAATACCGAAAATGTGACACAAGCAAGTCAAACTTTAAACCCAACAGTTTCAGTAGATACCAAAAACAATCTGTCAGATAAATTGTTAAGTAAAGATACAGAGAACAAAGGTGCAATAGAATGTAGAAGTACAAATAAAGAAAGTGTTATTCCAAAAGAGAATAAATTAAAGGATGCTCAAAAATCAACTAAATTTATAGACGATATTCAGAAGAATGGTAAAAAATGTTTTATCAAAATAGATAGAATGGATCTAGTATGTTCAAAGAATTCCAAGAGCAATGATATTAACCAGAAATATCTGGAAAATAATAGTTTATTAAACAATATACATAATTCTATTAAAGGTACTTCTAGTATTCATAATAACAGTACTAAGAATGCAGATATTAAAGAAGACAACATATTTAAAGGAGAGGATGATAATGCTCCTTGTTATTACTTCAAAGAGTGCAATTCGGAATACAAAAAGAACATTAGTAATATGGATAAAATAATTAAAGGTTTAGAAATGGTTATTCAGAAACGGACATTGGAAATTCATAACAATATACCCACATTACCAAAGGTAAGTAAAAAGGAAATGTACAGTAATCCTTCGTAAACCCGTTTTTTTAAATTAAAATGACTCGAAAGTGAAACCAACTAGTATTTGTGTACAGTACGTCGATCCGTTCTGTAGCTACGGGACATCCGTAAAGCCGGCAATTCATGGGCGTGCCATAAATATTTTAGATAACATTACTTTTGTATACAAAAATTTCAAAAATACCAAGTTTTATTTTTTTCGATGTTTTTCTACGTAAATGAGACATAATCTTTATAAAAAGTAAGAAGAAAAGTAATAAAAATTCGATAAAATCACACAACTATTTTACCGATAGGCGACTGCACTGCTCTTCAAGGTCGGTCTGCTGCATTGTTGAAGTTCCTTTCATAGACACAGATCCAGTAGACGGGCAGTACCGCGTTTTACCTGCCGTGTTTGTTCTCGTTCATATGCTTACAAGCAGAGCACCAGTTTTCATAGCTTTATATAAGGAGCTTCAATGGATCTCAGAATCAGACTTGTTATATAACAAAACATTAAAAACCCGCCTTATCCATTTAAAAAAAATGGTCTAATGATAATCTACATTAATAGTAGACGCTATAATGTACATAAATTTAGTCGCCTATTCCTATATAAAATTCACTACAAATTACGTTACTGCAGCAAAATCCGTCTTATCTACTTATACCGTATGATCGAGAAAAAACGGCGTCAGCGTTGGCTATGAAATGAAGATCGCTGTCATTTTATATGTAAATTTATATGGGAAATGTCATCGATCGTCATTTCCCAGCCAACTGGACGCCGTTTTTTTTCGATCATACGGTATTTCATTTTATTGTCATTATTGTTGCAAATCCCCCATTTTTACATAACCTTTTTATTCAAGTATAGTATTATTACTGACGTCTTATCCATTTCAAATGCTTACTTAATTTTAATAAAATAGCATACCTGATAATTGCAAGTTAGGATGCAAATATCTTGCTGTAGCAAAACTAGCAAAACAAAACGCACACAAAAAACGTGCGCATTAAATCGAATTATTGTTTTGAATTTGGTTTTTTCTCTTTAAAAATTAAATATTAATTTTGATTTCTACAAAAAGCAGATACAAAACAATGATTCTACTTAATGGACACGTTTTTTGTAAAATAACGCTTCAAACATTTGCTAAAACAGTTTTTGCTTATTATCTCGAAACCACGTTTTTGGGATAAGTTCAAAGATCATCTATTTTGTTAGTATAGTCTGTCCAACGAAAAAATCCTTGACAGTCGTTGATGTGTCTATCATTTTAATTTCAAAGTAGTTTATTTTATTTTACAAAGAAATAAGTTGGTACAATTGGAACGCATAGCATGAAATTAATATATTTAAAATGACAAGTTATTACTTCAAAATATTGTAAAAAAACTGTATAAAACTGAAAAATCTAATCGAGTCAATTTTTTTTTTAAATTATGGTTTGTGTTACGAGTAATTTTTTTAAAAATTATGGTCTGTGATACAAGACAATCAATAGTGTATTTTAAACAAAACACCACATACTAAAAAACATTAAAAAGAACTATTTCTTACTTTCAAACTTCCAGAAACTTCCTGCAATTATTGTTATATTGATCAATATAATTTATGTGCAAATACATATATTTTTTTAATATTGCACAGGAGTAAGTAAAACACAACATAAATAAAACAAAATATTTTATTAGAATGTAGAATGAGTAGACATTTAGTACTTATTGACTTGCAAAAGGACTATGATACCGTGCCATTGAACAAGCTATGGCCAGCAATGGAAAAAAATCGTATCAATGAAGTCTATATTAACGCAGTCAAAAAACTTTATTGTGAAAGTAAAAGCTACATTAAAATGGGCGGAAACTCTTCTGAGGAATTTATTGTTTCCAAGGGACTCAGACAAGGATGTTCTTTAGCCCCTCTACTCTTTAAGATATATGTCGAAGAGGCTCTGAAAAAATGGAAAAGAAGATGTGGTGGAATGGGTCTACCAATCGGGGACTCTATGAGCACCCTATAGGGGACTCTATGAGTACCCTCGCTGAGGGTGCTTGAGAAAGAGTTGGAACAATTTGGATTGATTGTAAATATGAAAAAGACCGAATACATGTCTGTAGGAAACGACGATCATAGTGATTTGGATATTGGTATGGGCAAAACAATAAAACACTGCTCCAAATTTAAATACCTTGGAGAACTCTTTCCTCAGATGGCAAAAGCAATGAGGATATATCTAATAAAATTGGACAGGGAAGAAGAATAATTAGGGAACTGAACTCTCTTCTTTGGAGCGATAGAATTTCAAGAAGAACGAAAAAGATGATGTACAACTCTATCTTTGAATCTGTTTGTACCTACGGATCGGAGACGTGGGAACTCACAAGGAGAAACAAGGATAGATTACTTGCACTTGAAATGGACTATTGGAGGCGTAGTAATAGAACATCTCGCCTAGATCACGTAAGAAATGTTTCTATAAGAGAGGAAATGCAAGTAAATGGTACTATCTTGGATACCATAGAATCCAAGCGATTACTACGGTTTGGCCACCTTCAAAGAATGGATGATTTAATAATACCCAAGAGAGTATGGGATTGGATCCCAGTAGAGAGAAGAAAACGTGGAAGACCAGCAAAAACATGGCAGAATGATGTTCAGGAAGCCATGCTTGAAAGACAACTGAGAAATGGCGACTGGTGGGACCGGAATTTATGGAAGTCGAGAAGCGGGAAACGACACTAGTCGTAATAACACCCGCATGCATATATATAGAATGAGTAGGAGGGGGTTAATCACTGCGACCTACAGATCTATTGTGTCCCCCTTTCTTGAGTTATAACTCATCATATAGTCCCAGAACTTTGACAAAAGCCAGTATCTGGGAAGAGAATTCTGGTGTTTCCCCATTTTGCCCACAGAATCTGCGTTCGCCGTTTTTCTTTAGCTTCAATCTACTGAGGTTTTCATTGAGGAGACAGTGTCCTGTTACAAATTCCGTGACAATCCGAAGATTGTTTTTACTTAAATCAAGGTAAGTCTTTGATTTTTCTGGGTCGTAAGTCCTTAGAAATTTCTTCGAGTGTCTCAATCCGTCGCAGGATTTCCATTCCCGGTTACGGATGGACTCTTCCAAGTTCTTGAGTTCCGCTTTTAGTTGGGTTTCGCTTGGAAAACAGAACGGTTCTGGTCCAGTTAGTGGAGTTCTCGCTCCTTTTCTAGCTAGAACATTTGTTGTCTCATTACCTTCAACCCTTGGGTGAGCTGGCATCCAGAGTAGGAGGCCTTTGTTTTCTTTGCCTAATTGTTTAGCTTCTCTATGCATTCTTTGACCAACTTTGAATTGATTGATACTAAGTTGGTCGTTTTTAACGCTGCTTGACGATTGGTTCGGAGTATTTATTTCTCGACCCAAATACTCTGCCCCTGCTTTGATTTTGGAAGCATCAGTATACCAAGTTATGGTATGGTCTTTTAACTGCTGAGCAAACGTTTCTCTCTTCCAATTCTTTTTATTGCTCAATACTACATTGAGGTGTTTCTCAAAGTTCTACATTCTTGGTATGTCATCCACTCGGAGTTGGAGGAACATCCTTTTTGAGGGTGTTCCAAGCCCCTGATCTAACAATTCTCCTAGTACTGACTCCGTTAGTGACCATTCTAATTCTAATCATTGACGCATTGGCATATCTACCGATGACAATGTGCAGCCCTTGTGTCAGATCCAGAATGACCTCCATTGCTGCTGTTGGATAGGTTCTCTTAGCTTCTGTGATGCAGATGCATGCCAGTCTATGGACTTTGCACATGTTTAGCCTTGCCGTACGTTGCTCTAGTTTTGTGTACCAAGCAACTGCTCCACAAGTAATCTTGGGTCATACTATCATGGTATACATCCAGCGAAAAATGTTAGGGTTAGGTTAGGTTAGGCTGCGCCCAACTCTATTCCCGGCTAGTCTTTTGCATATCATAAGAGCCTTTGTGGCTTTGCTGGTAATGTTTAATGCGCCTGTTCCACAGAAGTTTACTGTCCAGGGTTATTCCCAGATATTTGACTTCCTGTGATAGCAGTATTTCTTTTCCATCTAGCTGGATTCTTTTCAAGTTTTTTAGAGTTCGCTTTCTGGTGAATGGCACTACCGCGGTTTTGTCCCGGTTGATGCTCAGCCCGACAGTATTGCACCATCTCTCAGTGATGCGGAGTCCTCTTTGGATAATATCACACAGGGTGCCTTCATGTTTTCCCCGAGCGATCATGACTATGTCATCTGCATACCCAATGCGGTGTGTTCCCGCCAGAGTTCATTCGTCTAGTTGTTCATACACTACTAGGCTCCACAGCAGAGGGGAGATAACTCCACCTTGTGGGGTTTCTTGCGTTGTTTTACAGCTACAGTTTTGGTGACCATCTGAGTCTCTGCTGTCCGTGTTGACAGTATTTCCCAAAACCAGCGAATAATAGTTGTTTACTGTTTGTATATAGTTGTAATAATAGTTGAGTTACTGTTTACTCTTCGTGTTTCTAGAGATCGCCTGACCATCTTGTGTGGTATATTGTCAAACGCCCCCGAAATATCCAAGAAGGCACAAATTGCTGTTTCCTTGCTATCCAGACTTGCCTGAATTAGCTCCGTTAATTGGTACAGATTCTGTAGAGCTGCCCGCTCTATATACATGCTGACTGTAGTGCAGTGGTTTAACCTTTAGATGATTTTCTCCGATATGGTTGTCAATTACTTCATTTTAAAAACGCTGGAGAAAGTAATTGACAACCATATCGGAGAAAAAAAAACACACCAGGGTGGAGTGAATAAATGAATATAATTTTTTTCGCAAGAAGTAAGCAAGATAGACAAAAAAGTCAGGAGACAAAAAAATAATATTTTTAATTACTAAATCCCAAAATAATATTAAACTTCTAAAAAAGCAGTGGCGTGCCTGTATCTCGAAAAGGAAGCTTTAAATCTTACAAGTTGATATGAACTTTTTGTTTTATTTTTGCAAGTTCTATCATCTAGTAAATTTTCCCGATAAAAATCTGAGACACCCTGTATAGTATCACCCACCGAAGTTAGATACACTATTTTTTTGACACTCTGTATACAGGGTCTCCCAGAAATAAGTACAATTATTTTAAGGGGTGGTAGATCTCGATAAAAGAAACATATTTTCTCTTTATCGTTTTTCAAATATGTCCAAAATAACGGAGTTATTTTACTTTGAAAATTTCGAAAAAAAAAATTTTTTTGCTAAAATTTTGAGAACCACTGGATCTTTTCTGGATTTGCTTTCTTGTAAATTTAATCTAATACCTATGTTGCCATATTATCAAGAAATTATTTATTTTTTTAACTAAAAACTAAAAAAAAATCCAAAAAATTCTACAAAAAATGTCGAATTTTCAAAATTTTTTTCTCACGAACAAACCTCATAGGCGTGTTTCTGGGGTTGAACTATACTACCAGTTAAAATACTTGCACTTATTTCTGGGACACCCTTAATACATAATCATACTTATAATATATATATAATTGTGTATATTTTTAGAGAGGTCGAAAGCGGAAAGCTCCAAATACAGAAAACAATAATAAAACTCCATATATTATTCATCAATCAGGTATGAAAATCTTCAGCTCAGTTTCTTTTAACTAAGACTAAAATACAATTTTTCCAATTCAGATCTGAAAAACAAACCACTCCATGAAATGAGAAAGGTGGAAATCAAAGAGGCCTTATACGGTTCAGGTTAATATTTTTCTTTAACACATTTTCTTGCATGTTGTATTTATGTTACAGTGAAAGTCGGAAATTCAGTGATTGTTAACATTCACTAGGAAATGCTAACAATTACGTATTGGACCAGTGAATGTGGTATTTTAAAGAGATTTGTCGACTGTTCCTAGTAATTTCTAACCTTCACTATATATAGTGAAAGTAACATTTACTAAAGGATGCCAGTAAAAGTTATTCTATTGCATAGGGCGTGTGTGGTGAGGAAGAACGTTGGTGGAAGTTAGAACAAATAAAACTTTTAAGAATATTGGATCACCTCAATATTCAAGCTGATCCACATATCTTAAAATTATAATTTACTTTTTTAGTATATTTATTAAAAATGATAGAAAATACTGACATAACCTTCTAAATATTAAAAGGGAAAACATAGTAAACATTTTAAAGCCTACAGAACAATTAAAAAACATTCATAAACATAAGTTTACTTATTGGTACAAAGCTGATTTCATAAAGTTTTTCATCGTAGACAAAATAAAGCGTGTCCGAATTTTCTTCAACGGGAGTTATTCGTCTTTTCAAACCCGCTGCTTCAAGCATATCAAAACGTCTAATAAGTCCATAGTCACTACGTTCCTTAAAATATATTTTTCTCTTGCATGCTTAACTTTTGCTATGACTTCATTATATTGCAAAAATGAGAAACAAGCACTATTACATTCCTGAGAGTGCCTTACTTTTTCACAGAAAATATCTTCCATAGGGAAAATACCGCACAGCACTTTTTACAACGATAACAAAACAATTATACAAAACCACTAAAAATAAAGCGAATTTACGCCAGATGTTTATCAACGTTGCCAAAGTTTAGCCCAATTTAATATTATCCTTATGTTGCATATTATTCAACGTATCCTTATTTATCCTTATATTTTACAACATGTGTATGCTATCGTTCAGGGAATGCTAGCATTCACTAGTAAAAGGTGGTTTCAAAAATAGCTGTTGAATTTTTACTGGCGTAGTCTTAGCAAATCAGTGAATGTTAACATTTACTATTAATTTTAACAATTACTGATTTCCAACTTTTACTGTAACATTTATATTGTATTTACTAAGAGTGTATTTATTTAACTAATTGTATTTACTATTATGGCTGAGTTTCTTGCATTTTAGTAGACTAACGTTTTATTTACAATTGCTGCATGAGCATGGTTGTGATTTAATTTACGTTTACTAATTAACAATTCTACTAACAACTTATCTTGTACGTTTTGTACAGGTTTGACTTTAATTCTAGATGTCTCCCACAATCAGAACTTTAGTTTGCCTTTGAGTCCCGCCGAAAGTGACAAATCGGGAGAGATTAAGAAAGAGGAATCTATTACTGTTAAAACCAAAAGGACTGGCAGAGGTAAGTTTTTTTTAATAATAAATAGTTTATTGTTCAACAAAATATAAATACAACACATATTTGTGCTGCCAAAAAATATACAGGGTGAGTTTCCTACGATGTTCTCTATGGGTATCTCGGAAACTGCTGGAGATAGAGAGTCGGTTAAAGGGGGAAAGAATTGCAGTTTTGTGAGGTTATAAATATGCGCCTTTCAGATTTTTGAAAAAGTTCATGGCTTACTAGATATTTCGAAAAAAACAAATTTCGGCTATTTTAAAAATTGTCCCTAATTCCATTATAAGCTATTTTAGACAAAAAGTTTTCATATAAAAGTTGTAGATAATCACATCCTTAAAGAGAGCGTATCCTCCACTTTTTTCTAAAGCCTGTCATTTTTGACATATGACACAAACATATGTTTTTTTAAATGGAAACCATAGTTGGCCATGGCTTCATAAAAAGCACCATTTTTTAAGCTTTTCAGCGATATAAGCTATAATATGTTTTCATCGAAAAATTACTGAGTTATAGCCAATTCTTATAATTTTTAAACAATTTCACTTAGTTAGCCATGGAAACAAGTTTAATCATCTTTGCTCTCACAAATGTGAAGTTGTCACATCCAATCTTTGTAAATTAAAATAAACAAAAAATGTAAATATGAATTTTTCAAATCAAGAAAAGGGTGTAGGATTATTGGTTCAACTTTTCTTGACCATACATTTTCGAGGATACGTTGACCGATGAATATTACTAAACGGTTCTCTACAATTTACATTACACAAACTAAAACTTAAAAAAATAATATCACTACATACACTTTAAGTTATTTTAGAAAATGTTCAAAAAATCCGCCATTGTTTTGAGTTGCATTTTTTTAAAACTGAATTACTACCTATTCTCACAGAAGGACCGGTCGACTTAATTAAACTTTTCTCGTACCGCCACTTCGAGTGCCTCTCTTAATTCATAAGTTCTTTTGTAAACCCTATTGTTAACCATACCGCATAAAAAAATTCTAAAGTTAATAGGTTATGTGATCGAGGTGGCCCATGCATAATTATGATTAGTGTTGCACAAGAGTCTTGAAAAAGTCTTGCAAGACCAAGACTCTTGCAAGAAATTCAAGACAAGACTTTCAAAATTTCTTGTCTTGAATTTCAAGACAAGACAAGACTTTAATATGCAAGAAATTTCAAGAGTCTTGCAAGATTTCTTGAATTGAAGATTTCTTGAAAGTTAAAAATTATACATTTTTTTAAGTGATAATTAGGTCTTTGCGCAAGTTATGCCGGGTTTATAGAACATTTACATAGTCGTAATCACAATCATAGTCATAATCAGAAAAGTTAAACTATCCACTTCTTATAAACCTGTTGACATCTACCATGAACTTAGCCTGTAATTATGTTACCCAACGTCACTGATATAAAAATTATGATTATGAAAATGTTCTATAAACGCACATTAAAATTGCGTTGTGATTATGACGATGATTAAGACTGTGATTATAATTACGACTTATGCAAATGTCTTATAAACCCGGCATTAATATTGACCAGTGTTCATTTTTTTTTTTCTATTATAGTGTTTTAGAGTTGAGAATGAAATAAAATAAAGTCGAGGCAACAAACCGTATATTGGTAATTGCTATTATACACAAAATTATATTGGTATAATGGTATTATAAAAAAATTAACGGTAGCTGAAACTAATGGTGGGTTCGTGGAGCACGCTATTTGCGCTATTTGGTACTACTTTTCATGCACGAAATTGCTCAGCGAACAAAAAGTAGTATCAAATAGCGCAAATATTGCACTCTAGCATGAATTTCATTAAAACTTTTTTTGGTAGTGAGTAATACTTAAATAACTTAACGCACAAGGTTAGGTACGAAATAATAACCCAAAAACAGTAAATTGAACTTAACCTTACTTATTCTTATTCAGCTTTTATTTGGCAATGGCTACAGAATGTACTACGGTAATGGCTCATGATTCGTCAAACGGGCGAGTTGACGTAGTTCGTTTGCGGTCCGTTATGATTTTTTTGCTAAAATTGCCGTTGTTGTTCATTTTTCCGTATTGTATAGCGACGCTTTCTATGAAATAAAATGTAGAAATATTATTATCTTTTTGTTAGAATGTAACATTTTTCAAGACAAGAAATTTCAAGAGTCTTGCAAGACAAGACAAGACTTCAAGAAATCTGCGAGACAAGACTTTGAAAATTTCTTGTCTTGAATTTCAAGACAAGACAAGAAATTGGGGGGGGGTTTTCAAGACAAGAATTATTGTCTTGTGCAACACTAATTATGATATAAATAATTTTTAACATTTCTTTCATTATGGGAGGTGGGGGGGGGTAGTGTGTCATAATAAAAGTCATGTTGGAACCACTCTATTAATGCGCGAGTATCTTCACGCTTTTCTTCATTTGAAAAGTTCATATTTACAATTTTGGTTAATTTTAATTTACAAAGTTTGGATCTGACAGTTTCACATTTCTGAGAGCAGCGATGATTGAACTTGTTTCCATGGCTAACTATGTGAAATTGTTTAAAAATGATAAGAATTAGCTATAACTAAGTAATTTTTCGAAGAAAAGATATTATAGCTTATATCACTAAAAAGCTTAAAAAATGGCGCTTTTTATGAAGTCATGGCCAACTATGGTTTCCATTTAAAAGAACATGTGTTTGTATCATATGTCGAAAATGACAGGCTTTAGAAAAAAGCGGAGGATACGCTCTCTTTAAGGATGTGATTATCTACAACTTTTATTTGAAAACTTTTTGTCTAAAATAGCTTATAATGGAATTAGGGACAATTTTTAAAATAGCCGAAATTTGTTTTTTTCGAAATATCTAGTAAGCCATGAACTTTTTCAAAAACATGAAAGGCGCATATTTATGACCCCACAAAACTGCAATTCTTTCCCCATTTAACCGACTCTCTATCTCCAGTAGTTTCCGAGATACCCATAGAGAAAATCGTAGGAAACTCACCCTGTATACTAAGGGCTGGCAAAGGTTAGTCTTGGGTCGAGATTTCCGTATGTAAGAAGAGTACAGTGCGTTTATAATGTACTGAACAAAGAGAGAACATTAAACACGTTGCCAAACGCACGACATATACCGAGAAAATGCGCACATTGCTAAGAGACGTGGAAGGGGATATAGCAGATTTGTCGCAGTCCACCGGTCGACCCAATCAGTACCTCCTGTCAGTACCTAAAGTTCTAGGGAAAGGTGTACATCATGCGTTCAGCTTCACAATTCAATTACGTCTCGCGATACTTTGTTTATTTATTAACGAGACTTTTTTGTAATTTTCCCCAGAGCTTGAAAATGTTTATGTGCAAGTTAGAAACATTTGCATTTTTGGTAAAAATAAGTGGAATTGAGTTGGTGTGAAAATATTTATAAATAAAAAAATTACATTATTGCTGCAAATTGCTATGTACTAAAAGTAAATGGATGGGTTGTTAAAAATTTTTGAATGGAAAAAAACAACTTAATCGAATTTTTCTTATTTAAACTTATTGTAAAAGATACAATCTTCAAAATAAAAAAAAAAGTTTCAATATCTAAAGTGGTTCTTAAGTTATGACGTGTTATGTGTTAAAAAGTTGAGTTTTTAAACTGTCGCGATTACTGACGTGTTATCGTTATAAAAAAATGAACACCCTAACGATATCCTTATTATCTTTTCGAACAAAAAGTCATTTAAAAATATGCGGTTTGCGATCGTGATTTTACTTTACCTGATAGGGAAAGGCATACCGGCAACGCCGCAACAGCACACCGTCGCATTTCTCTCACTCGGACTTAATAAGATCCCTATGCGATTTATTTACACACGTGTAAGTTCCGATCCAAAAGTAACAGTTGCCAGCACGGTATACAGGGTGAGTCTTAAATAAGTGCAAATATTTTCAGGGCTAGTAGATTTCGATAAAAGAAACATATTTTCTCTATGCCGTTTTTCAAATAAGTCCAAAATAACCGAGTTATTTAAGTTTCAAAATTAAAAAAAATGCGTTTTTTGAAAAAAAATTGAGAGCCACCGGATTTTTTCTGCAATTTGTTTCTATAATTTTAATGTACTACCGATGTTGTCACGTATTTAAGATATTAAATTTTTTAAGTGAAAATTTCAAAATTTCACCTAATTGGTAGATATTTATTACAAGCCACCCAAAGGCACCCATGCAAAGGCGCGTTTGTTGTTTAATATTGTTTGCTAGTAGCAGTGTTATCTCACACAATAAAAAGAAAAACTTACCTCTGATATTTAAATAGAATATTACTCTAGTATGTTATTATTTATTAGTGTGCGAACACAGTGCAAGCAGGTTTGCCGCTTACTGGTAGCCAGCGCCAATCTGGGTACCTATTCTTGACATCGTTCGCAACTTTGCGTATACGCATCACGTGTATTGTTATAAACAGGGTATCCCAGAAATAAGTGCAAGTATTTTAAAGGGTGGTAGATCTCGATAAAAGAAACACATTTTCTCTTTTCGTTTTTCAAATAAGTCCAAAATAACGGAGTTATTTTACTTTGAAAATTTCCAAAAAAAATGATTTTTTGCTCAAATTTTGAGAACCTTCTTCATGTGCCTTCTCCTCATCGGAGGTTGGCGACCATCAATTGGAATTCCTCCCTGTCTTGAGCCAAACGGATAATTGCACTTGCCTCTCCTATATTAAACCATGGCACTGGCGCAAATTCCGCATGCAGGAAAACCGTTTACGCCCGATGCCTCGTCGTCCTTCAATCTTTCCCTCAACGATCAGCTGTAGGAAACTATATTTGTTATTTCGAAAAATATGACCAAAATATGCTGCTTTTCGTCGTTTTATTGTAGTCAATAGTTCTTGGTCCTTACATATTCTTTCCAATACTTCGAGATTTGTTTGAGAACCACTGGATCTTTTCTGGATTTTCTTTCTTATAAATTTAATCTACTACCTATGTTGCCATATTATCAAGAAATTATTTTTTTAAATAAAA